TTTTTAAATCCCGGCTAGTTCGAACCCCGTGCCACGCGGCTACACGCGGCACAGAGTAGCTAGTTCGGATTAGGCTTCCTAATCTGAACTAGCTGTACTCCTCATTCCACGAGGAGTACAGCTAGTTCGGATTAGAAGCCTAATCCGAACTAGCTACTCCGTGCCGCGCGGCTACACTAGCCGGGATTTAAAAATGGCGGCTCCCGGTTTATGCAAATGAAGCCCGGGAAATTCAAATTTGAAAGTAAGACATTACTTCATTTGAAAGTAAGACATTGGGGGATACTGGTTCCAGCTCCGTCATACAGGATGCCTAGACTGGAGCACAGAGCAATGTATGCCTACATTACCCCGCTAGTTCGAACTAGCGGGGTAGTGTGGACATACCCTATTAATCTGGGATATCACAGGCTCTGTATGCTCCACGATAGTAAGGACCTTGATAAATGACTTTATGGTGCAGGAAAAAATGATAGTGTTATATGACTGATAATAATTCATATGAAAATTGCATTTCGTTTTCTGTTCTTTCTTTATCAAAATCAACAAAAAGAAAATATTAATTGAACAAGGACCACATTTTAGAAGGTATCACATTTTAAACACTGACTGTCGGGGATAAGCTGAATTGGACTTTGGTGTTGTGTAATGTAAATATGGACTGTGATGGTAACACTACATTATGGCATATATTGCATGACAGAATATGACCCACATACTACCCCATTCCTGTATAGGAACCTGGCGCCAGATGCAAAGAACCAGTATGTGGTAGAATCATTTCAAATAAAGCAGCTGTGCCCATTGACAGTCTTAATAGCCACTCAAAGGACAAGCACAATCAAGCTGTAAGTATCACAATGCCTACATGTGTTAGAAAAGAAAATCAAAGGGCCTATTTTATCCCCCACTGAAAGGCAGCCACCTTTGGATGGCTGCTCTCAGCAGCTGTTTAACAGTGTACAGAAACACTAAAAAAGTCTTCAGGAAAATCACAGCCTCTTGAACATTGCCTCCTTCTCCTGTTTTTCTTTCCTACTGAGCAAGATGTTCCAACTTGAGGAGTAAAGTTAGGTCCATGGGGCCATAACTGCATCACTCCTTGAGCATATTGAACAGTTGTCCAAATCTCAGTAATTATTCTTTACTGTAAACTACCCAAAGCATACTCTGATTTTGGTGTTATATTCATTAGCAAGTAACCTGTTTAGAATGCTAATGTATTCTGGGAATGTCCATTCTATAAATAAAGACTGATTTACACAGCAAGTCCTTTTGAAATATCTTGAGAAACAAATCCTTACCTTGCAGCTGATTTAAATTTTACTTAAATACCTCTGAGGTTTAAAAACAGCACACTGATGTGGGTTGGCATGCAGAACAATGCTACATATACATGCAAATATAACTTATAAGTAAAACAAAACTCCTTTCCATGAGAAGGATAAGTCGCTTGATAGGAACCTGAGTCCGGAGCCCATTTTCACTTAAGACTGAAACTGAGTTCAGTTTTTGGTGAATCTAGCACGTTTTATGCACAATGTTTTCTGGTCAGAATAATTAACAGAAGATAACACTAATGCCTTTTGCAATGTCATGTGCACCTCAGTCTTTGGCATTATGTGAAGCGGAAAGGGCTGCTTACTTTACACCTTGCTTGTTGATTTATGACCAGCCCACTTTGGTATTTGAGAACTCATTGTGGAATACATTCAGGTTCTGCAGAGACTGAATCTTGGACCTGTGAACTGCAACTTCCTAGTTAACTTCCTTTGAATGTGTAGGTGCCCAGTAGCTCTGAAAATCAGGCCATGTGTATCTCACCGTGGGCACTAAAAATGAGATATCCAAATTCAGTGAGCCACTGTTGAGAATTATGGCAGAACTGCTGGATTCTCAGCACACTGCTCTAGCCACTGGATTACTTTCCTTTCCTTGGTAAATGACCCCATTAAAAGATTAAGTGCCCCCTTTCTGTCTTTAATTTGTTATGAAAACTTTCTATGAATTTTCAACCCAGGTTATAGGGTGCATATTGTACCTAGTATTTGCCCTGTCTTGATACCCAAGCACCAAATGGAGTTTTGAATTCCATCTATTTTAAATATAATTCCCTACCTTATGATGCAAAAACAAAACAACAAAAAAACCCACACACTAAACCTCCCCTCCATCTCATTACCTTGTACTATTTGTTCAAAATGCAATGCCAGATGTGGATTGTTATGTTGTTCCTTGCATAGCACTTCAGAACACAGTATTTCATGAAAACTTATATTCAAATGCAATCTATAATGAGAAGAGCCTTAAATGTTTTCCTTTAAAAAAAAAATCGAATATCTACAAGAAAATATAAAAAGCCTAATTGCTTTGATCAAGGTAGACTATCTCTGTTCCTCTTCATGGATGCACACAAAAGAGGTAATGTACACATTGATATCAGTATAGCCTTTTGGGGGAAGGGGAGAGGCAAGAGGAGTAAAGTGATTAATTTTACACAGAAAATATTGGAATACCAAAGCTACTTTTTTTCACCCCCTGCTTCCATAAGGCTGGGGTTCTGTTCATATGCGGTGAGCACACCACTCTGGTGAATATATTATTTATAACAAATATAAATCAGAAAGAGGCACTTAGTCATCTTGCAAACACTTCAGCAATGGGCTATGTGAATTATGTTGTCTTTGATTCTGCAAATGTTTTCACATAATGTTCCTTGTTAATCATTACCTTGTTCTGTGAGCATAACACATATACCCTTCTGTTGTATGATATGAATGTAGTCTAGAGTACCTGGATTCCCTAAACAGTAAAATGCCAATTTGTCTTAATTTTATTTGTACCAGTATTACTTTCTTTTGCATGTGATAGCATCTGAAGAGGTACCAGATTATTCAGTTTGTCAATCAAAAGTATAGCAGGTCAAAAGTGGGAAATAAATGAAGGAGGTCTATTATTCTAAACAATATGATATTTGGCAGGACCTGGAGATGACTCAGCACTACAAGTTTAAATAATACATATATTTCTTCTGTTTTAAATTGAGATATGAAAAACTACAGGTGGAAATCAAGTACTATTTTACCAAGAACAATCAGGAGAGCTACTATAGAACTGTTGATTCTCTGAGTAATAGAGGAAGTTGTTTGGGACTTGACAACATGGGGAAGTTATTCTGGAATAAGGCAGAATTTGGAAGTATATTAAGACAAATCAGAAAAAAACCTGATGTTGCTCTTTTTCTGGGAGAAGTATAGCCACACGGGGAGATATTGCAGAATAGTTTACTCCACAGCAGCTATTTCAATCTACTTCCCTGTGTAGACAAGTCCTTTGTCACTGGCTTTTAATGTGCATTTGTTCTCAGTAAGCCCCAAAAACCATCTGATCTCACTACTGAACTAGTACACGCTGTACTTTGAAAAAATTCACAGCACTGTTATCTTTACTATCAAAAAGTAAATTCAATGGAAAATAAAGATTCAAGGCATCCGATTTTTTTGAGAATTTGAGTCAATAGTCTTGGAAAAGAAAAGAATCTAAATGTTTGTTTAGATATTTTGGTTTTCCCTTCAAAATGAAATTTCATTTTGAAATGTGGATAAAATCACTCAAATAAAAAGATAAAAAAACCCACCATTCAATTCATCTGGTTTTGCTATTGGCCCTGACCAGGATACGGATATAGAAAATGCATAATTTTGTTTTTAAAAAAAATCTCCACAATGAAATAAACTTAGGACTTCATAAAAAAGATTGTACACAAAGGCCTGATGTGTGTATGTGAATGTTCATTGATAATGGAAGCATTTCAGTGTTTACAATAAAATTTCCCCATTGTGTCGGGAATAGGGAACATAATTTTACAATGGCTCAAAAGTCTTTACTAGCCTCTATTAATGTGATAATATCCTTAATATGTGGACATTTAGACAATTCCAAAGGAACATTTAATTAAGATTAATACTACTGATATGAGTTCATTTTTAATTCTCAAAGGTATTTCTAAGAATCTTCCAGCTCCCTCTGTGAGAATTCCATAGGACAAACATCCAGAGTGATATGTCATTGTATTGGAAACTTTTATAATTAGGTTAAAACAAAACAAAATCAAACACAAAACACCAAAAATTCAGCCAATGAACGTGCTAAATCAAAGGGAACATGACATTAGCTATGAAAGTACAAAAGTAAGGTGTAAAGGTAAGTTTTCATCTTGTTTGGGGACTCTCTAATTATGAAACGAGAATAATCAGAATTATTTCCATAAGCCTCAAATATTAGAATGAGCCTATATCTTTTAGCATTTCAGAACCACTTAAAATTCTGCTTTGTTTTTCTAATACAAAGTGAAGTGACAAATAAACATCCTTTGAGTAGTCAGCTAACTATCCATGAACACCAATTATTTTTTAAGCCCAATAAAACTCTGGATCAAAATAAATATCTGTACATTTTGTGCACCTGTTAATATGCTTCAGTGTATGTGATTATATAAATACATTTAAATGGTATGTGTGTGTATTGCAGATGCCAGTTACAACTAATCTGCTGTCATCTGGGACTTCACTGTTCTTAGCAATGTAAGCAGTTAAAAAACACTGACGCAACATTCAGGCTAAAAGCCAATCCCTATGAACTGAAACCCTAATAGGGTTAGTCATGGCTTAGCCACTAGGTGCAACATAAACAATATTAGTAAGTGTAACCCATATACAAAGTGGTAGGTACATGAGATGCATATGTGAGAGACTATTTGGGCATACATAGCTATGCAGGTATGGCAATATTTGTGCTGGGGAGGGGACGCAGATACTTCCAACCTGTGCCAACAATACAAAATGTAGATCGTACTTTCAAAACCTGTTGGATTTACTTGTGACTTTCCTATATTACTATGTGTCGGATTCCTCCTAGACCTCTCTTACTCTCCATCTCTTTTAGATGTATTTGTGATTTGAGCCATTTATTAGAGACACCATCCCCAGTTCTTGGCTTACCTTCACATCCTGGACATTCATCCTTGTTCCCTCCTTTCCAACAAAGATGTCATCTATGTCAACAAGAATGTACCTATTCAAGGACAATGTGAGCTTCTTCCCCGACAGAAAAGAGATGGCATCTATAAAGATCAACTTGTGTAGCCAAAAGGTCAAGTTGTTTCCAAAAAGGACTCTCTGAATCCCATCATGCAGCCCCAAGTCCTGGATCACTGTAGCATACAGTGCAGCTTTAGGCAATGATGCTGGGATGGATTTGGAAGTCTGTAATTCAGTTAAAAGCACAGGCTGGTAAGTGGAGTGATTAAAGAGGAAAACTGTCCAGTCTTCACCAGGTAGTGGGCCTTTCTCAACCCTTGGTGCTTTGGTAATGTGCAGTAGAGGAGATTGAGAGTTTACAAAGCAATCTTTGAGGGCTACATTATTGTAAAGTTCTAGTGGAAATCCTTTTAATTTTGTACGTGGTAAACTGTTCTCATTGGCTTTATGAAAACCAATTATGCTAACACTGTATTCCACACAGTATTTTTCCAGAAGCTCTCTATTCCATGAGTCCATGGACACATACTTTAAAATATTCTCATATATAACAAGCATGTATTTCCCTTTGCCACTATCTGTAAGAGGAGGAATGTCACCTTTTCCAGGGGCAATCACCATATGGTATTGGAATTGACTAGACTCGAGGATCGCTATGATATCTTGTCCAAGCTGGGAGTACTGGCTCTCCACAAATAGCAAGACAGTAGGATCAGTATTAGATGGATCCATCGGCTTAGCGGTCTTCAGCTCCATGGACCTGTATGGTAAATGTTTAAGGCCCTCACATTCTGCTTCTCCAGTGGCTTCAACTACGGTCATCTCCTGCTTGTAGCCTGTATATAAGTAATAGGCGGAAATGACTATGCTTACTAAACAGAAGGTGGTTAAGAGAATTACCAGTGTTCTGAAACTTCTACGAAGTTTCACAATAAGATTCATTTTTTGGAATACTTTCAACTTAAAAAAATCTTTTTTGGCTTTATCCTCTTAAAGTGCCATAGTAGAGAGGACAAAAATGGTGCTGGTACCACGTCCCAAATGCTCATGTGACCATTGCAATGCACTTATGAGGGGCTTTAGGGCGGTTATAAAGCTGTTAGAGCTCAAAGTCAAAGTATCTGGAAATCTAAAGTGGAAGAGATCTTCTCTGAATGCAGCACTTGCAAAAAATCAATGAAGATGATGCTTAACATTATCTGCAACAAAGGGTGAAATTAGAGTAAGTAAAAACAAAATCCATAAAGCAATTAAAAATAAATGTGTTAATTAAATAAGCTAGTAACTGATATTTGAAATCTAAGGAAGAGAAGATTCATTGACTGGATAGAACTAGCTGACTGCTGCTTTTTACTGTAGTTAAATTTTACAAAATATCTATTTAAAACAACTTTCCAAAATGCTTATGACATGAAATTAAATCTAAATACAGCACTTTGAATAAAATGACAATATTCATTCAGTCACTTCTCCTTTGTTAGAAAGATTTATTGCAATTGCAAGCAGGGCTAATTTAGAATAATGGGATGAAATTAAGAAAGAGAAAATTTTTGACAGATTTATCAAATTGCAGCATAGTAATCTGAAAGGAGATAGTGGTACTCCAGTGTTCTGAGACATTTTAAACTAGTCAAAACAAAGTATTAGCCAAAGTATGGAGCTATCCTGTCATTAAATTAGAGAGGGACTAGAAGAATTAAAAAGCTTTTTCTGTTTTAAATTTCAATGTGTTTCTACACAATTCTGCAACTTAAGCAATTGGTTAGATCTACTTATGTATTTGCAGAGTATGAGCCCAAGACTGTGGGCTTACATAAAGTTATTCTTGAGTTATCAAAGTGTCCAAAACATTATAATTTTTATTAATCAAACATTCATAATACCTAGATACTCTAAAAAAGCTAAACTAAATTAAATAGAAGATGGAGGTAACTGATGCATATGGAACAGATTCACTCGTCAGCTTTGTATAAGTCTTAATAATTCTAGTAAAATTTCTGTAGTATTACCATTATTGGATAATAAAGCTACACCTAACTATCACAGTTAAAAACTGATCTTACTATGCCAGTGATTTTCAACCAGGGTCTACAGACCTGAGGAGATCTGCAGGCTATGTCTAAGTTTTCCAAAGTATTCTGCACCTTCACAAGAAACTTTTAGGGATCTTCAAATAAAAAAAGAAGTTGAAAACCACTGCACTATGCCATTTTCCCATGGGAATTCTTCATATAGTTAAGCTACATTTTAGAAACCTCATATACAAGTTAAAGAAATATTCTTTATAGAGGGACATCTGCAGCTATTTCATCACATATGAGTTTGTCAGTGGAGGAGTACATAATGAAGTTGGGAGAGTTTGGGGTGTTGTTCACAGATGTGGAAAGGTGGAACAAAAAGAAAAAATAGATGATTCTGTTTTATGGGCTTAAATAAGGACAAGTGAGCATCTTTTCTTTTTGAATTATTTATACTCTTTGCCCACTGGAACAATGTAGGGTTGTAAACAATGAATTATTTTGAAGCACTAAGAATTAACATCCTTCCTAAAGAAGACCTCTTAGTTGTCAGATCTTCATTTGTAAAACTACACTGCAGAAAAAAGATGGGAACCCATCTGATATTCTGGAAGACTTTTAAATCTTAAATCTCAGGAAATATTACAAATATTTGGGGTATAATATATGGGAAATCTCTAGCAGTATATTTATTTAATAATGGAATGCTATCATAAGAGGCCCTTTCAGATTGCTTGTAGCAAACATAAGTAAGATAAAGGAAGGGTATCAGTCTTCTTTTGCACAATGTTTTTCTGCTACCATACTGGTATCCTCTTCTGCCATACAGTAGTTATGCTACTTTTCTGCTGCCAAAATTCTGGGAAAAGGTTCAGAAAAAGAGCGAAACAAAGTCATTGTGATAAGCTTTGAGTTAAAAGGTCTACTTGATCAATAAAACACTCCTCAGCCTGAGTATGGGCCTCAGAATTTCACCCATAGAATTTATAGATAGAAAACACCTTTAAGGGTGGTCATTATGTTCATTCTTCTACCAATGTCAGATTTTCTCTGAAGTTTATTCTTGAGTCAGAGTGTTACTGCTGCACACTTCATAATCTTTCATGCTTTGTCACAGTGCTCCAGCAGCAAGACAATCATTGGTTTAACTGTGTCTTATAGAGCTACTAGCAAACAGTAGCATGAAAATTATTGTGCTTTATTCTTTTGCAGGAGTTTTTAAATGGAAATAAATACAAGAAGAAAGAAATACTACTAATACTAACAAACAATATAATCAATATAATTATCAGAGTAATCAATGCTTTTCATTGCTTGTTTTATTGGCTTTGAGGTTCGAGGTGCTTTATATCTCAAAAGATCCAATTATTTTTGTTACTGAAGAAAAAAATCAGATCAAAGGAAATTGTCTTTATGAGGTTGTATAACCGTTTTGGGACTTTAGTGACATGGAAGAATCACTGATGTCTGACTCTTGGGGTTTTCAAATCATGCAATCTTTCTGGAGAATTATAGTCTCATGGTGGGTGCACACGGTCATAGATTAACTAACACATACAACTTTTGGTTCTGGAGAGATTTGGAAATGAAAATATACTTGGCCTTCCCATTGTGTAATTTCTTTCAACACTAGAGGGCAATATTTTCTTGCTTTTGCCAAACAGAGAATGGCAGCACCTGTTATCCACCCGGACAGCTTACAAAACAAATGGAACTGCAATCAAGCTGAGTCCAAAAAGGTCACAGCAATCTGTACCAGCAGGTAAAACACCTTATTTTAGACTTTAGTGCAAAAGCAATATAATTTAAGTGCTAATAAATCTGATCCTGCAACAGGTTTTTATACTTACTAGATTTCTTAGTCCACTTCTGTACCACAGGTGAATAGCATGCTAGTGGTAGAGCTACATTTTCGCCTTTTTCCCCCTCAGCTTTGTTTTTTTCCTCTTAGGTCCATCAGGTACTGGAAATATAAAGTGTTAAGATAATATGTTTGGTGATATTGATCATTATCATTTGCATTGCAGTAACAACAAATAGCAGCTCCAGTCATAGACCATGATCCTCTAGAGCTAAGCATGTACGGAAACAGAACACAAAAACAGTCCTTAACCCAAAGAATTTACAATCTAAATACAAAATATACAAAAGATGACATATACAATACAAAAGATAAAAACCCATCCAAATGAAATATTTGTACCTCAATCTAATCTAATCCTGTCCATCCATAGATATTGTTATAAACATTGGATACATATTTTAAAATTATTCGTACATATATTTTTAACAACTAAAGGTATTCATTTTAATCTAGATGGCAGTTGGAGCAAGATTCAATTCTAGATTTGGGTACATTGCTAAATTTGTTCTTTGAGGCTGTTAAAATTGTTCAGTAAGAAGCAGTGCAATGTAATTAAAGCTTATGAAAGTATGTCAGTTATACTAAGGAATTAAGATTTTTTTCAAGGCATAATTGGGAGATGGGAAATGCCATTTGTAACTCTGCCCCTTATGGTTCGACAGCATTATATATATTTAGCACATCAGGGAGTATCAGTTTTTCTGGGAGTATCTTTATACTGTATGAATGTATTATAGCTTTGTATATAGTAAGTATCCAAATCAGGCTTTATTTAGTAAAATGTAGTATTATTTTATACACATATATAAGTTAGTATTATTGATACAATTTCATTTTAGAGTACAATATTTGAGTGATCCCACAGTTCTCTGATTCTCCACCTTGAATACAGGGTACACATTCTGATACACTGATCAAGGAAACAAAATGATATTCACTCAGAATGCATCTTCAATGATGCAAAGACTTTGTGCTGGTTCTTTGTAGTAGGTGAATTTTATCTACAGAGCTGATTTAACGTTTTAATACTGTAATTTTTCATTTGCCCCAGAAACATTAAATATACCGACTTCACACTGCATGCAGTACCTTTGAAGACTCTGGCCTGGTGTACACTAACACACTAAAACTTGCTGTTATAGCTATATTGGCAAACCCTCATCCTGTGCATGCATCTTACAATAACAAAAGTGTGCTTTGACTGGTAAAGTTTGTTCAAGTTCCTCAAATGAAATAAGCTGGTGTAACTGCATCTATGCTTGGGCTTTTGCCATTATAGAAATTTGAGAGATATTACAAAAGTTTCTAATGCAGACATATAAACCACAATGGTTAATATCCCTTACCCTATTAATCACAGCAAAGACTCACTTAAACCAGGGCTAAATTTATCTACAACAGGCAACATTAGCAAGGTACACAGTAAATAAAACATACATCAGTAAGGGTACGTCTACATGGCACGTTTATTTCGAAATAAGCTATTCTGGAAGAAATACTCTGAAATAGCTTATTTTGAAATAGCACATCTACATTACAGGGAAGCCTCAAAGGCAGGTTTTCCTAATGTGGATGTGCTACCTCAATTTAGAGCCCCAGGAGGCACTGGGGAGGAGCTATTTTGAATTAGTAGCAGTGGAGCGTCCACATTACTGTTATTCCGAAATAGCTTTTTCAGAACAGGTGTTATTCCTCATGGAATGAGGTTTACAGATCTCAGAATAAGCCATCCATTGTTTCAAATGTATTTCAAAATAATGCAGTTGCTGTGTAGACACTCGCAAAAGAGATCTTGGAGTCATCGTGGATAGTTCTCTGAAGATGTGCACGCAATGTGCAGCGGCAGTCAAAAAAGCAAACAGGATGTTAGGAATTATTAAAAAAGGGATAGAGAATAAGACGGAGGATATCTTATTGCCCTTATATAAATCCATGGTACGCCCATATCTTAAATACTGGGTACAGATGTGGTCTCCATCTCACAAAAGATATATTGGCATTAGAAAAGGTTCAGAGAAGGACAACTAAAATGATTAGGGGTTTGGAACGGGTCCCATATGAGGAAAGATTAAAGAGACTGGGATTTTTCAACTTGGAAAATAGGAGACTAGGGCGGATATGATAGAGGTATATAAAATTATGAGTGGTGTGAATAAAGTGAATAAGGAAAAATTATTTACTTGTTCCCATAATGTAAGAACTAGGGGCCACCAAATTAAACTAATGGGCAGCAGGTTTAAAACAAATAAAAGGAAGTTTTTCTTCACACAGCTCATAGTCAATCTGTAGAACTCCTTGCCTGAGGAGGTTGTGAAGGCTAAGACTATAAGGGTATGCCTACACCAGCCACCCTAGTTCGAACTAGGGTGGCTAATTAAGTCATTCAAACTTATAAATGAAGCCCAAGATTTTAATATCCCGGGTTTCATTTGCATGTTCCAGGGCACCATCATTTTTAAATGCCTGGTAGCTCGAACTACCTGCCCACGGCTACACACGGCACGGGCTAGGTAGTTTGAATTAACACTCTTAATTCGAACTACCATTACTGAGGTGTTCGAACTAGGGTGGCTAGTGTAGCCATACCCTAACAGGGTTTAAAAGAGAACTAGATAAATTCATGGAGGTTAAGTCCATAAATGGCTATTAGCCAGTATGGGTAAGGAATGGTGTTCCCAGCCTCTGCTTATCAGAGGGTAGAGATGGATTGCAGGAGAGAGAGCGCTTGATTATTACCTGTTCAATTCAGTCCCTCTGGGACACCTGGCATTGGCCACTGTCAGGAGACAGGGTACTGGGCTGGATGGACCTTTGGTCTGACCCAGTATGGACATTCTTATATTATTTCAAAATAACGTTGCTGTGTAGACACACTCTAAATGTTCTCAATAAGAAAATGATGTTTAGCAGTAGAATGTGTCATTAGAGCTTTAGTTCATTTGTTGCCCAAACTACAAAATTTTGGAATCAGATTTCAAATCTCTCAAAGTTCAGGAGTACTGGGGTGTGAGATGTTTGTTCATTCTCTTGCATAGGGTTGGACATGAAATCCTGGAACTCTATGCTCCCCTCATCTCAAGTGGTCAGCACAGAGACAGCTTCTTCCAGTGAGTTATGTTCCCATCAGGCTGAGATGGGTGAAACAAAGGGAAAAGCCAAGTATTAGAGGGGGTATGGGTCACAGTCAATAATATGCCTACTTTTTGTTGACACAGAAAACTTTACATGACAGAATATAACAGCTCCATACATTCTATTATGGTATTATGTTTACTCTGGAAATTCTTCAGAAATACTTCTTCTCATAGTATTTTGAAGCATTCATTTCTAGTTGGAACCTAGATGTGTATGAAAAACAATGAAAAATGACAAGTGGATTTTTTTTAATCACAAAAAAGTTTGATTCAAGAGTTTATTTTTCCTTCTGAGGGCAAGTATTAAATATATATAAACCCAATTCAATGTCCCTAATTATCTGTTCAACAAGTTCCGATTTAAAAGTATGTACATTTCAATATTTTGAGAAATCAACCACAATGGCTTACTGTCTTCATTAAACAAAAAAAGTGACCTGATTTGAGTGAAAGAGGTGCACACTCAATCTTTCCTTTCTGAACATAAACCCAAAATTCAAAGCAAAGTTCCAAGTCTAGATTCTGGAGATCTGGATAAGCTTCCATTCAGCTGAACTTTTGGGTGCTTATCCAAAACAATGTTTATTTCACATGATTCATCACTACCGGTCTAGAAAGTCTCAACAGGGTAGCTGTGTTAGTCTATAACTTTAAAAACAATAATTTGTCCTGTGGCACCTTAGAAACTATCTATCTATCTATCTATCTATCTATCTATCTATCTATCTAGTATATGAGCTTTTGTGGGCAAAACTCACTGATTTTGCAGGTAAGCTTTTTAGCAGCCCTCAGGACTGCTTATGAGCTTATCATCTTCAACATAAAAATGTACTGCTTATAAAGGCAGATCCTTTGCAGGTAGAAATTGTCACAGCTCAACTGACTTCACTAGCCTTACCTCCCTATGACAATTTACACCACATGAGAATCCATCTAGTATCTCTATTCCTTCTCTTGTTTTAAGTAAAGTCAGACTGCACTTGTCATTTGAAACATCTAATTTTAGCAATTGTTTTTAGTGATTAGAGGTTTCTATAGTCAGTGTATAATTTTCTGCAGTTTTAGAAAACATACAATTTGCCAGGGTCATGGCTCATTATCACTGGATACAAAACAAACAATGTATAATTTTCAGAGGATGAAAACTGACAGGCATTTGTGCCTGGAAGAGCTATTGGAAACAATGAACACCAAAATCATTTGCTTTTGCTCACTAGTTTTAATAGCTCTAGTTTTTACAGATGTTTTACTTTTTGTGGAAAATAAATCTTTGCAGTAGAGAGATTACCAAAAATTGTGTTTCAAAAATGAGTGGGGTTTTTTTTTGCATATTAATTACTGAATGAAAGACAGAGTGGACTGGATCACTTAGGAGATATGGAGTCTTCTCTCTCCACCTTGCTAGTTTGAATTTAGCCAAGGCTGATTTGCATTCAAAATCTAGGACCATTTGATGGATGTTAAGTGACACATGCAAAGTTAAAATCTTGACTCACTCCATGTTCCAATGAAAACCATTATCAGCAATGGGCCTATTTGTAGACTCACCGGTTGAGAGACGCTGCACCCTTTTGGGTTTGTTCTGAAGCATATTAATGGAGTAGTTGGGGATATTTGAGCAAGCTTGCAAGCCTGTGCTCCATACAAGAGTTCAGCACAATGGCACCTCTGTTTCCCCCAAGTGGTTCAATTGGAGTACCCACTCTCAAGTTTCCAGAAGTGCAGCCATTTTCTTTCCAAACAGAGATCCATATCGCTCTCTCTTCTGACCATGGTATTACCAAGACTACACAGTTCCATGACTTCACAATGTTATTCCTAGCACAGACAGATTGCCCAATAAAACTGCTTGCTTTCTCCTCAGTGAAAGGTATCACATGCCACTTCCTTTGGAAGCCTACATTATTTTCAAATCAAAAAGCATTACAGAGAAAATATATTAAAAATAATAAAAACATTTTTACACACTTCTAATACTTACTCACTTACTAATAAGCTCATTTTATTAGTCCTAACATGGATTACGGATGGAATAGTCCTTCAACCTCCCACCCACTAGGAGTTCTTATAGTTATAGCTTCATTATAGTTTCAGTTCAAAACAAGCCCCCATTCTTATGGGATCTCAGTAGATCCAATCCTTTCAACCCTACCCTAAGGATCAGGGTCCTTTGTGGATCATGGCTGCTGTCTATATGGTGGATCAGGAAGAAGAAATTAAGCTAGTTTAAAACTAGACTTTATCCAAAACCCTTTTTTTTTTCTGGTCTCTGGAGAATCAAATTTGAACTAGTATATTGTGCACCTTTCCAAAAATCTCTGGAGATGCTACTACCTTAGTGAATTTACCTTATCACCCCCTGCTGTTCTACTGTTTACCTTTCACATGGAAATATATACAAATCCACAATAACACATACACAACTGAAATTTTAATAATATAAATGTACCTCAAAAGGTATTGATCCTATTTCAATTTTATGATCCTTCTATAAGATTTGTTGCCAGCATTAGGGGATATTGTCACTTTGTCACACCCTACCTATCCGGTGACTAAAGAGAGAGCTCCTGCTCAGAAGGAACAATTTTCATAAGAATTAGCCCTATTCTTCTTCCTTCAAAAATTTCCAAAGATATGCAGATATCCACAGCTGACTTATCACAAAGCCCAGCATCTTGAACATATGTTCTAGCTGTGCTGTTATAACCACAGGTCAGCTAATATAATTCCTTCTCATTAATTCAGATGTGATCTACAATTGCTGACTTGGGCCTTTTCTTTCCTCTGATTGATACATTTAGATAAGTAACTGTCATGAGCACTAACATATGCACAGAAATTCCTCGCCTATTACTGGGAGACTTCTACAATATCTACGTATTAGGTAAGAAATATTCTTCTGTCTTTTGCTGATTCCTCCAAAATCCCTTTCTTTGACATTGAAGTTGTGTTGATTCCTTGTAATAAAATCGTAAAGATATGAAAACTAGATCTAGATGTCCTCCAGTCAATCTCCTTGTGTAGCATTGTTCTCTACTGCATTCCTCCAGTCTACTTTAAAATAAATCAAGTGTGGTGCTTTCATCACTTATTCTGACTGACTATTTTACCCTTGGAACAGACCTCAGTGCTAGGATGTGTGTGTTGATCTTCAGTCAAATTATTTGCTTTACATACTTTGACCCCGCTTACTTACAGGCACAGTCCTTGGGATCACCCATAAATACATGTCCAATAATTGCTCATGATCATCATCATCCCATTTTCCTGTTAGGAGCTTTTTGGTCAAGTTGAGATATTCATTTATAATAAGGGCCCCCACTTACTTATGAAATTGCAGAAATTGTGGATGGCACAACATTAGGCTTCCTGCACAATGTTTATTTTAATTGACTTACTTTACACACTCCGCAATTTTGCATACTTTTTGAGGTTTGTAACTCACATTTTTCCCCATTAGTACAGTAGAACCTCATTTATCTGAACTGATAGTGGCTGAGGCTCAGGCTGTCAGCCCTAGGGCTACGTCTAGACTACATCCCTCTGTCAGCATAGGGATGTAAATGAAGCACTTCGAAAGTGCAAATGAAGCGGGGATTTAAATATCCCATGCTTCATTTGCATAATCACATAATGGCGCTCTTTCGAACAAGAGCCATTTCGAAAGTAAAATCACGGTCTAGATGCGATTCTTTTGAAATCGGGGCACTTTTTTGGAAGATCTCATCCAATTTTCGGGCTATCTGCAAACTTTACCAGTGATGATTTTATGTTTTTTCCAGGTCAGTGATAAAAAGATTAAATATATTGGACCAAGAATCAATTCCATTTACAACTACACTTTGGCTGTGTCTACATTGGCATGATCATGCACCAAAGCGGCCGCTGTAGCGCAAAAACATGCTGCCTGTCTACACTGGCGGGGAGTTCTTGCGCAAGAACACTGACGTTCTAATGTGTGAAATTAGTGCTTCTTGTGCAAGAACTATGATGCTTCCATTCAGGAATAAGCCCTCTTGTGCGGCTGTTCTTGCGCAACAGGCCAGTGTAGACAGGCAACATGAATTTCTTGTTAAAATGGCCATCGGAGCTTTCTTGCGCAAGAGATGCTTGCGCACAGATGCTTTTGTGCAAAGCACAGCTCTTGTGCAAAAGCACATGCCAGTGTAGACGCTCTCTTGTGCAAATACTTTAATGCAAAAACTCTTGAGTTAAAAATATTTGCGCAAAATCTTGCCAATGTAGACGTAATCTCGGTGTGTAAAGCTCAGGCAGTCAGCCTGGTCCAAGGTGGGGTTCCCACTGAGCCTTAATGACTATATTATAGTTGCAGCAAAGTATCTGGTTATTTAAAAAAAACAGGTATGACATAATATTTCAGTGTTTACATTGTTCCAGCATTCTTTTTTAAACAAATAGGACTTCTCTGTCTTTTTCCAAATTTCTGCAATTAATAAAGGTCTGTTACTTTTCCTTGGATTTTCCATGTCTTGTTCATAACGTAGTCATAATGATTTTTTGACAATTATCCTGCATTTCAAGAAGGGCCTTAGTTATAAGATTTTCCCATAAATCTATCTCTAAGGTCATGTTTTGTTTATTTTCTTTAAATTTCTCCCAATTTTTAAATATCTTTCAGGAATTCAGATCCTAGAAGTGAGAGTAGGAATTATCTGTTGTGTTCACTCTAGGGATGTAAGCGACTAGTCAACTATCAGATAAGCATATGCTTATCTGATAGTTGACTAGTCGCTTACATCCTTAGTGCTTGCATGTAAGAGGCAGCAAGGGGGGGGAGCAGGAGGCGATGTTGGCTTAAAAGCCGGTTACCCCCAGCACTGTCTCTGTGGCAGGGGAACAAGGGTGCAACAGGGAACTGGCAGTGCTTCCGCCTTTGAAATGTAGTTTTAGTACTATTAATAATAACTGATAATACTTCACACTTATGTAACACCTTCCTTCTGATGGTCTCAACGTGTTTTGCAAACATTTATCAATTTATTCCAACAATACTGGATGAGGTGGACATATTTTACATTCCCATTGGTTTTGTCAATATCCTTGGCAATTAAAGTTGGATTTAGGCACCTAAAGAGGAAGTTAGATGCTTTCCTCCCTTTGTGAATATAATCCTAAGTGAATTATTTAGGGTATAGAGATACCCTAAATAACTACTGATCACTTAATATTTGTTCAGGTATTTTATTAAGTTTTTCCAGACTTACTTGATAGTTACCGCAAGTCCTTTGTTAAGTATCTCTGACATGGTAATAGATAAATACTTTCTCCATGATGATAGCAAAATAAATAAAACTGGTTGTTTGGCTCAGACTCAGACTTTAAGCCTGGAAAGGATTTTCATGATCATTTAGACTTAACTCCTGCATATTGCAGGCCACAAAACCTCACCCATCCACTCCTGTAGTAGGCTCATAATCTCTGACTGAATTGCTGAAGTCCTCAAATCTTGTGCTCCAAGGCACGCAGTTATGTGGCCTCTTTGGACACTGTCAAGATGGTTCAGTTTTAGCTCCTTTTTAGCAGAAATAAAACTGCCTGCTCAATCTCCACTTTCTTCTTATATCTAGTCCTTAGTGACTCCTCTCTTTTTTGTTTTCCTATCGCTTAGTGAGTTATACGGAAACATATTTTCTAGAAGACATCTGAGCCATCCTCTGCTGCAAATCTATGGCCATATATTTCCATGTGTAACCTGGTCTGCATTATATACATCCTGCCATAGCTACCTGTTGTGAAGAAGGGTTGATGTGACTACATCCCTAGCATAAACTGGACTGAGACTTAGACTACTGAACTTCTGTCTTGTAACAATGACCTTTCACCACTACTGCCCAGAATGATTTAAACCCAGCTAGGAAAGGCTCTGAATACTACTACATATCCTTAATGTAACATATTCCCTCGGAAATGTTGTGTTTGAAACAGAGGGAAGAATATTTGTTTTGAGTTTCTAGGATTAGAGCCCAGAGTATTGTGAAGCTAGTTCACCTGGAGGATCATAGGTGGCTCCCCACCACTTTTCTGCCTCCTCAGTCCTGGAGTCTGCAAGGGGTTGATCAAAAGTCCCCAGCACAAGTTAAAGAAGTCTCAGGGATGTTCTAATTTGTACTATAGGATAACTGTTTCCAAATGGCCACCCTATAGTCTGTTTCATTGGAGCACATGGAGTCCTCTCCATCTTCTCCTCTACCTGAAACTCCCTATATGCTAGTTTTTGATGGAAAAGTGGTACTCAGAGGGCTAGCTAAAGGAAATCTTAGGGATCTGCCCTAAATCAGCAGTTCTGAGGCCATATTATGTATGTCATGCAAAGTAAGTTGAGTTGGAATGAGTTAATGACAGGGAACCTGATGCTCCTCTCAGACCAATTTTTCATCTATGTAACTCTTCTGATTTCTGATATACATTATAAGAGAAAGTCAGAACCAAGGTTTTATTCTTGCTCAAAATATAATGGTTTTTATCAGACCCTTAATGTTACTTGCATGTTTGTTTTGGGGCATGAATTTAAGGTCATATTATACTTTTTCTGTATAACTTTCCCATGGATTCTTGAATAATTTGTTTTGGGTTGATGATAGTATGCTACAGATTTAACCATTCTAGTCCGGCACTGTTGGGACCTGATCAGTGACAAACCAGAGGATTTGCTGAACCAAGGAAGGTCAATATTGCCTAGAAGCATTAGCACCACTTCCACTGCTTACTGGGCATTTACAGGACATTTAGGGGTAAATTAGAGCTAAATAACACCACAGAACACTGAAGCTACATCTAGACTACACGCCTCTTTCGAAAGAGAACGTCTAGACTACAAGCAGATTTTTTTGAAAAAGCAAGCCACTTTTTCAAAAGAGAGTCTAGATGCTCTCTTTT